ACACGACATAGTTGCAGGTTCGAAAGCCATCAAGAGACAAGTGAATCACAGTAAATGACAGTCAACACCACAGACAACAAGAGTAACTAAAACCAAGTCAATCTGACTTAGACCACAGGGATTGCTTCTCATCTGTGCCTTAGCTAATGGATTTTGGCAATACAAACAAAAAATCTAGTGCATACTCCAAAACAAAACAACAACACCCACACAAGTCATTGTTAATAGAAATACGCCTAATAATACACCTGGCTGAAGAGAAGGACCAACACAGACAGTCTTTAGCAAGTATTTCCCCAATGCCTTTTCCTGGAATTTAATGCCTTGATTTAACAGATACACTTTGGCTCTTGCTTTCAAAATTCTCCAAAATTATTCTTGAACAAGACACCACTATATTTACTGTGTAATTTCTACCAGAACCATAACCAAGAGAGAGAGAAAAAAAAAGTAATTTTTAAAATTCTGAATTCGATTCACTTTGAAACAGATGCAAGACATTGTACTGCAACTTTAACCAAGTCCATGCCACAGTAATTCAGAAATTCCCAGAACAAAAGGGACATTTATCCTGTTTGCTAAGGCTGGCTGCACAGAAGGCACCTTGCGGAGAAGCGCGGAAGGGGATCAGAAAAGAATTACCTCGATGTGAGGCACTTCCACAGCCATCCCTAGAACGTCCCTTCCATGCAAACGGCAGGAGCGTTGAGGGGATGAGGGGGAGGATGAGGACAAGGAGAAATGGCTGCTGTTGAAGCCATCCTGGCACGAGGCATGCGCCCTGGCCCCTACGAGGCCACGTGGCTCAGGCTGGCACAGACGGGTCCCCTGCGAAAGGCTCCAAGGCCACACAGGCTCCAGCTATAAGAGGAGCACACACACGTGGGAGGACAAAACTTATCCAATTTACCTTGTATGTAAAATTATAGGATATACCCTGGTATATCCTAGTCAAGACCTGGACCTTTAGAGAATGCAGGCAAGTGCCAGGCCATCATAAACACCCACAGGAGCACTCTCTTTCCTTTATCTACAGAGAATATTCTCCCATGCAGGAGAGCTGGCAAACACTGCCAAAAATAAACACCAACAAAGACTGTTTTCAGCAAGCAACAATGTTAAAATGGAATTTCTGTGGTAGGGACAACTTTCAAGAAATATATCAAGCACTCAGTGTAAACTAAGAAAACAGACGATATTTTTGGCCAAAAAAGGCAGATGACAGCAAATTATCTTGAAATGCATTAAAGAACTTGATAATCCTATTTCCCCCAACTCCAGCAGTAATAACTTGGGCCATTTAAAAACATACTAAACAGATGTTTCATCTATTTTGCAGATATTTAGAAATAATTTATTTACTTCAAATAGTAGTACCTATTCACAAAGTAACATCTCAATGAACATTAGTTCAGTACACATTACTGCAGTAGTTTGAGAAATCTTCACTGTAAACCCAACAATATTGATTGCAAGCTGTTAGCTGATTTCCTCATCTCAGAAGGGAAGTAATTGCAGCCAAAACCAAAATTACTATAAATATTAAATTAAATAGCATCAAAATAAAAAAGTGGATGACTAAATTGTAATTTGCATAGTCTTGATGAACTCTAAAGAGTTCCTCCTACTTACTAATATCTTTCATATATACACAAAGAAAAAAAGTTTTTTTTTTCACTGACTTATCCTATAACTAGATTTCAAATGTACTGATATTGCAACATTTACAAAAATGGATGCATCTCTAAAATAAAGTCTCATTTTTGGTTGTGTTCTTGGGCAAGCCGCTACTTTATCACTGTTGGTAAATACAGCTGTGTTTGGTTGTTGAATTTCTGTGTGTTTAAAAAGTGCACACACACAGCCCCACACACAAAGCCTATTACTTTTAGGTACATAATCACCCTACTGTTTGTTATGAAAAAGAGATTAATTTGTTACTGAAATCAACATTCATGCACACAGCAGAAATCAGGGTGTAAGGGAATTTAATTTTTCATACTCCACATCCTCCCTTGAGGCCCAGTTAAACTACTCTTGAAAGGTTTTAATCCACAGGTGTTCATAAGAACTTAGAACAGAAACTCCACATCTGTCCTAAGCATCTTCTGTAATACCCAACCTTCCTTTCCATGCCCTCCTCCCCACCCCTGTGTTGAAAAATATTTTTTTTTCGTAATGTCTACCCCAAACAGTCTGTGCTGTACTGAAATCCACTTTTTGCTCGTCCTCAAGGGAATATTGCTCTAGCATAACTTTTTACCATGTATTATAGACCTACCATGTCTTCCTGAAGATATATTCTTTAGGCTGAATGGACTCACAGGCTAGACTGATCATTGCAATTGTTTTCTTTGGACTTTCTCAACATACCTGCACGCACAGCTATCAGTTTTTGAGAGATTATGTATGTATCTATATAGCCATGTGTCTAACTATAAATTCAAGTATTCAGCCATTCACAGGAAACATTCTTGGGAGTGTGTACAGAATTCCATGGCCTGATTAGAAAGCTGTGCCCTGTACTCAGAGCTCAGTTGAGCTATTCCTTTTGAAAGTTGCGACCCTTTTTCACTCATTCATTCATTCAAATCACTGCCAGAAATCAAATATCCTCCAACTAAGACTACTAAGGCCTTAGTTAAGGCAAATTGCTTAAGAATGTTTGCCAGATTTCTTAAGAGTATTCTTACCTTTTAGTGAATAAAAAATCTTCAAAAGTATTGGCTAGCTCTGGCCACATACTGTCAAATTTTCCTGAAGATGCATGCTGCCTTGCAACTGGGAGTCCAATAGAAAGAACTTTGAGAAGAGAAGACACTGCCAGTTTCCATGTGCTTTCAGAAGGACAAGAATATTTCAAACTAAGAGGTATTCTCAATGTCTGCAAAAGAAAGTTCAAACAAGATTTATAGTTGCTTAGAGATAGCTAAGACAGATCTCTGCAGTACAGCTCAGTAAGTATTTTCATGGGTAACAGTACATATCCTTATCTCACCTCTTTTTAAAATATAACTATAAAGACTATTTGTATGCTATCTGGATAAAGCACGGATCTGTCACCAAACACAAAGATCGGAGCCAGAGTCAATTCATTACTAATTATATTGCAAATCGTCTCCTAATTTTCTTTTTTTTCTATTACCATCTACCATTTTTATTAACCTGACAAACAGGCTGTCATAGCATCTAACAGATTGCAGGCAGTTCATTATAATGAGTACACTCTGGAGAATTCAGCTTGCTTCCTAGAAAGCTATCCCAAGTGTTTCCAAATAAAGAAAAAGAGAGAAATTGAACATTTTGTAAAATGCAAAAAGCTGAATTGCAGACATCACTGTAAGATATTTGGTCATTACTGAATGTAAAACAAGATGACACATACAAGTTTAAAAAAAAAGGTGGAATCCTGAACATTAAGTCTGCACTATAACTTAAACATACATCAGAGAAGAAGACAAAAAAAACAAAAAAAACACACACACAAAATCTTAAAAACCTGTTACACTGCTTTAATATCTGTAGAAGAAACTCATTAATGATAACACACGTAGCACACATACTATTTGCACTGTTTTTTTGTTTGCTTTTAAACTACTTTCATTATTCACTGAAATCATTTCCTAAAATGGAAATGCAGCCAGAGAAGTCTGGCGATTCCCTCTTAAAAGCCGACTTTTGCTCCCACAACATTCCGCAGCGACAGCCATCGCACGGGGGAGCGCTAAGCACACACCAGAAGTGACGGACAGGACACCCGCTCACAGACGCTGCCACAGCAGGGAGCTGCTGTCAACAGGTCAGAGTCTGGTCTCCACTGTCCTCTTCATAGGGTCAAACTAAAGGCCCGCTTTTCAGATACAGGTGCATAAGACTCAAAATCGAAAATCATTATTTTGGGGCCTGATATATCTTTTAAATTTTATCTTAACTTTGGAATACTGGTGCTGACATTATTGTATTATCTAGCTAA